CCCAGTAAAAAAATTACAAGCTACTGATCCCTTCATTGACATAAAAATTAGAATTAACCTAAAAGATTTTTTTTCTTTTGGGTAGACCAACCTCTTGATGGAAAAAATAACTTGGGGAAGAAAATAATCTCCATTAGATCTAGCAATGTTTAAATTTAAATGAGTACATCAAGATACTAGAGATATGGTCCTATAAATTAAATAAATAAATTATATTAAGAATGATGAAGAATCTAAATATTTTATACACCATTTTTTATTTTCTTAAGAATACCTTTTCATATAAATGTAAGGGAAAATTGCATATAGGTTCCATGGAGCATATTTATTTACAAATAACTCTCACAAAATTCAGGAACCACAACTAGAGCCCTTAAGACCTGAGTGTAATTTAAAATTGAGATAAAAAGATAATAATATCTCTATTAAACATATATACATTAAATTAATTAAATTAATTACAACTATTTCATCAATAATTTACAACTATAACTTTAATTTTTTACAACTCTTACTTCACATATTCAATAATTAAATTAATTAGTTTAATTTTATTGGATATATGAAGTTGCAGTTATAAAAAGTTAAAGTTATAGTTGTAAATTACTAATAAAGCAGTTATAAAAAATTAATGTTAAACTTTATTAGTAACACATGATTGTTTAATTATTGGATATGTAAAATTATAGTTAAAAAATTCAAATTATAATTATAAATTATTAATAAAATAGTTGTAAATTAATTATTTAAATGATATAATATATATTTAATAGGAGTATTATTGCTTGTGGTTTTCAAACTTCGTTGAACTTATTTTTAAATAAATATGCTCCACGGAACTTAGACATATTTTTTCCTAAATGTAATTAAACCAAACGTAAGGGAAATCAAATAAAATTTGACAGAGTCCAATTAATTTAATTAATTAATTCACCTTAGTAGGTTAGGTTAGCTCATCAACGACATGCAGCAAGACACGGGACAACTAGTGCTTTTTATTTTTAAAACACTAAAATAAATTTAATTAGAAAAGGTGGAAACTTGTCATTTTGCAAAGATACTATACGTTTGGAAGTATATATTTTCTTTATCAATGTAAAAAAAAATATTAACTTATAATAATGTATCAAAACACTAATAACTAATGACATATAATAGGGAATCTGGCTCAGCTTCCATAACTGTGTTCATTGCTCATCTTCTGTCCATATTAGCAGATAGCAGCAAAATCATTGCATCATGATCATAATATATTCAAGAGTTAAAAGGACATTTTTGCCCTTCAACCTCATGAACATCTAATATTCTACATTTACATGTGATGTAATTTTTTTCTCAATATTTAAAAATGTTACACTAAGCACTTTATCATTAAAAAAAGTTAATTTTGACTTTTATTTGACAAAAAATTGCAAAAAGATCTAAAAAATTATAAAAAAGACCCATAAAATTGCAAAATAATACCCCATAAAAAAGTAATATTGATTAATTTTTTAAAAAATGGTGGGTCAAAAATGTATTTTGGCCTCTTATGTGTATGAAATAATATTTATTATGTTATTTATATGTAACTTAGGGGATTTAATTGATATTAATTTTTTTATAGGGTACTTTTGTGCAATTTTATGGTTATTTTCTTTAATTTTTGAGATTTTTTCTAAACTTTTAAGTCAATTAATTATTAAATTTAACTTTATTTTAATATCAGGATGCTTAATGCAAATGATATCACATAAAAGTTTAATATACCGAATGCTTTTAAATGAATAGTTAATGAGCAAAAATATCTTTTAATCTTGTTAAAAAAACAATAAGAAAACTGCATGGAAATAAAATTATCAAAATCTCTAAACGACCAAAATTTACTAGTGCTGCTGTCTGCGTGTGTGTGTATTAAAGTAGAGAATCTACAGTCACATGAAATTTTCCTTCAGAAAAATGGAGATTCTTCCTTAAAATACTCTCCCTCCTTTTGAATAACCATAAAAGTACAAAAAGCTTCACAAGGAAACAGTATCATAAGCAGACAAGATAACTCTCTTATTGAAATAATAATGGAAGCTCACTAATTTCATTTGTCTCATAACAACAGCCATACATAAATACTTATACCTCGTATATGAATATACATGAGAAATTATTGCATGTATAGTTGCACCATATCATTTATATTTTGTCTAATAAAAATATAACAGGTTATACCTAGTTCAATAATTCCATAAAATAAAATATAATGTGTATTATTTTTAATGGTTTTATTTTTTTAATAGAGTATTTTTTTAATTTCTTATCTTTCATATCTTTATTATCATCATGCTAGAATCGATTTATATTTATAATTATTTGACATGTCATGTTTTGTTTGAGAGAAGGGTGTTTCCTTTTCCCTTACTCTCAATTTCCCTCCTATTCTTTTCATCACCATGAGATCAATGTTTTTCAGCGATTTAGATTTAATTTTTGGTAAAATTATTATAATTTTACATAAAATATGTAAATAAAATAATATAGTTTTAACTTGTTTAGGTCAACTTTTAATAATTAAATTTTATTTATGTAAAATTATAATAATAATTTTATCAAATATTAAATCTGAATATTTAAAACGTTGATCTAACAGTATTAAGAAGAAAATGAGGGAAGTAGAGAATAGGGGAAAAGGCGACACCCTCTCCTATTTTTATTAAATAGAATATAAATAATATATATATTGGATCTATGCAATAATTTCTCTCTCTCACGCATAATATAACATAAATATTAGGGAGAATGATAAAGAGGTTTCGAAAGGACTAATTAATTTTAATTAAGTCTCAAGTGTCAAATTTTAAAAATTTATAACTCAATCATTTAATTTTACAATTGCATTGTGATGAATTTGTAACTTATTTTTTAAATTTTAACATGGTTGAAGAATAAAAAATTTATTTTTCTATTAAAATTTAAAATACAAGTTATAAATTTTTAGAGTTTAACACTTGAAATCTAATTTAAATTAATTGCTCCTTTTGGTATCTCTTTGTCATTCTCTCTAAATACTATGGCATGGCAAAAATGATTATTTTTTCTTACAACTAGCTCCTATTTATCAACAAATTCAAAGTAGAATATGTTATTGGGTTTTAAATTAGGGTTAATTTGTACTTTAAACCCTAAACTATAGATTCAGGATAATTTAAACCCTAAACTTTTTAAAAGCTATATTTTAAATTATAAATAATTAAATTTGAGGTAATTTCTTCCCCATTCTTTCTCACCATTAAATTTGAATAAATGCTTGTTAGTTTTCTAAAATTGAGGTTTAATGTATGATTTTTCTTAGATAGTAGGAGAGAGATAGACAGTGAAATTTTGATGAGAATCACACATTAGACCTCAAATTTTTAAAAACTTTCATATGTTTAATTAAATTTAATGGTGGGGTGATATTATCCCAACTTTAATTGTTTAAGTTTAAAATATTATTTAAAAGTTTAGGGTTTAAATTATTTAGAGATCTATAATTTAGGATTTAAATTGAATATTAATTCTTTCAATTATTACAATAAATTTTCTCTTAGATTTTTTTTTAATTTGTAAAAGCTCAGATCAAAATTTTTGGTAAAGAAAGTCACGAGGCTTTCACTCCATCTAGCCAGTAGGATATACTCCCTCATGGTGTCCCAAATATAATACACAATTACCCATTTTTTAGACGACGATGACGACGACGACGACGATTTATTCCTCCTCGTAAAATTTGTATCAAAGCACAAATATTTTTTTACATTTGCTCTTATTAGATGATTATCTTCTCTTTATAATAAATTTTTCTTTGCTTAAAATATCATGTAATTTCTTACCTATTTAATTGAATCTCAAATTTTAATGAGAAGTAAAAATGAAAAAAAATTAATTAATGACACTAGACAAATTAATTTAGAAAAATGTTTTACATTTTTAACCAAACAAACCTCCTTTTTAAACCACTTGTAATTTGAGACTATACAGAGTATGTTGGTTATTAGAAAAATATCTATATACTTAACCTTACATACTTATTTAATAAAACATTTAACTTTACATTTAAGGTACCTGTTTTGGCATGTAAATTTTTATATATTTTTTATTCTATAACAAGCTCTTGCTTTTAACATTATTAACACTTTAAACTCTATTTATTTTGATTTGGTTAGACAAAAATATTTTAAATATAATGCTAAATAGATAAATCTTCCCTATTAGTTAATGCAAAAATTGTCATCTATTTATCTATGCTATGCTCAATAAAATATATATGCCATATTATACTAGTTCAATCAAATAAAATTTAAATATCATTATTTTTAATGATTTTATTTTTAGAATAGAGTGTTTTTTTAATTTCTTTTATTTTCATTTTCTATCATTATCATTCATCAATGATAGAATTAATTTACATTTACAATTGTAAGTCCTCTAAGATTAAAATTGATGAATTCACGTGTAGTTTTCTTTTTTAAGAAAGAAAAAAAGTTTTATATTTTATAAAAAAAGTAAAGCATACATTTAGACATTTAATTTTATAAAATATTTTATTTTAATTTTTTTATAAAGTATTTCTTAAGTCTTCTAACCCTAATATTATTAGTTTTATTAATAAAATTTTGTATAATTTTTTAAATATTGATAAAAAATTCTTAAATATTAATATTTAATTTCACTTTTTAAAATAACAATGATTGGCTTGGAAAATAATATGATTTAAAACTAAATGAGAGTAGAAAATTGAAAAGATACTTTATGAAATCAACAGATTAAATTAAAGGCTTATATAAAGTTAGAAAATTAAAGTATACTTTTAACTTATATATAAATAATAAAATGAGGAGAAAATACTAAAAGATTCCTTTAAATTAACCTCCGTAATAATTTAAGAGAAGTATCAAGTGTATATCTATCAGTAAAAACGAAGGAACGAGGAGAAAAGGTTGAGGACAGGACAAAGCTGGCGTTTGTAGGTTATAGACATTGTGATGCGGTGGAATTTTGTCAGTATAGCTGAGCCGTGCTTGTTGGTCCAAAGATTGCTCTTCACGGACTTCATTTCCATCTCCATTTCTTCACTTTTCTCTAATCTCTCACCACTTTCGTTAATATTCCTCCTTACAGTACCACTGCCAGATTTTTCATCAAAGTTTTCTCTTCCCATGCTTACCGGAAAATCTCATCTTGTTAAGTACCAGAGATAGTCAAGTCTGAAAGAGGAAGAAGACGAAGAAGAGGATGATGATGATGAGATTTCATCAGTTTCTTCGTTCACAGTTATGCCTGTTAGTTTCAGTTTATTGTATTCTTGCTTGCTTGGGAGACAATGACGTAGCTGCACAATTGAACGATGATGTTCTTGGTCTGCTAGTGTTTAAATCTGACCTTCATGACCCTTCTGGTCATCTTGCTTCATGGACTGAAGATGATGCGAGTCCTTGCTCGTGGCGGTTCGTGCAGTGTAATCCGGCGACCGGAAGAGTTTCTGAGGTCTCACTTGATGGGTTAGACTTATCTGGGAAAATAGGAAGAGGTCTTGAGAAGTTGCAGTATCTCAAGGTATTATCACTGTCTCATAACAACATAACTGGAAGTATAAGTCCTACACTTGCTCTTTCAAGCAGTCTTCAAAGCCTAAATCTCAGTCACAACAGTTTGTCTGGTTCTATTCCTAGTTCTTTTGTGAATATGGCTTCAATGAAGTCTCTTGATCTCTCAGAGAATTCATTCTCTGGACAAGTGCCAGAAAGCTTGTTTCAAAACCTGCTTTTCCTTCATCATCTTTCTCTTGCTCGGAACGTGTTTGAAGGATCAATTCCCAGTACAATCTCTAGATGTTCCTTATTGAACAGCCTTGATCTTTCCAAAAATCGGTTCAGTGGTGGTGTAGACTTCAATGGGATTTGGTCTTTGACAAGGCTTAGGACTTTGGATCTGTCAAGCAATGCCTTATCTGGAAATTTGCCTCCTGGAATATCAGCCATACACAACTTGAAAGAGATGTTACTACAAGGTAATCACTTTTCAGGACCATTACCCTCTGATATTGGACTGTGCTTGCATTTGAATAGGTTGGATTTTAGTGATAATATGTTCAATGAAGCACTTCCAGAGTCGCTTGGGAGACTTAATTTTCTGACCCTTTTGAAGGCATCAAATAATTTGTTAACCAATGAAATTCCTCAGTGGATTGGTAACATGGCAAGTCTAGAATACCTCGATCTCTCAGACAATCAGTTCTACGGAACCATTCCAGATTCAATCGGTGATTTGAGATCGCTGATTTATCTCAGTCTCTCGAATAACAAGCTTGTGGGAAACATTCCGTCATCATTGGTTTCTTGTACTAAGTTGTCATTTATTCATCTCAGAGGCAATGGTTTCAATGGTAGCATACCAGACGGACTGTTTGGCCTAGAATCATTGGAGGAAATAGACCTATCTCATAATGGGCTAAAGGGTGAAATCCCTGCAGAAATGATTCATGCTTCTAAACTAAAATATTTGAATCTATCTTGGAATGATTTTCACTCTCAAATGCCCCCAGAGTTGGGTATGCTTCAGAATCTGACAGTTTTAGATCTTCAGAGCAATTCACTATATGGCTCTATTCCAGAGGGTGTATGCGATTCAGGCAGTCTGGCCATCCTTCAACTAGATGGAAACTCATTGAATGGTGCTATCCCAGATGAGATTGGAAATTGCACGTCTCTTTTCTTGCTGTAAGTTTCCCATTTCTCAAATACTGATATTGTCTTCTGCATATATATGTTTCTCAAGAGTGAAGAACTAACAAGCTTGTCTTTAAACATGGCTTGAACATCAGTTTCCAATACATGTTTTCTTTTTGGAAGGAACATAATGTGTGGCTATAAATATTTGTGTATTTAATTAATTTCCACTTTGTTTCTTGAAACTTGTGCAGGAGTTTGTGTCACAATAACTTGAGTGGTTCAATTCCAAAGTCCATGTCAAAGCTTACAGAGCTGAAGGTTCTGAAATTGGAATTCAATGACCTGAGTGGAGAGATACCTCAGGAGCTTGGAATGCTACAGAATCTTCTTGCTGTGAATATATCATACAACAGACTCACAGGCAGGCTTCCCAGTGGTAGCATATTTCAAAACTTAGACGAAAGTTCCTTGGAAGGAAACTTAGGTCTTTGTTCACCCTTATTGAAAGGGCCATGTAAAATGGATGTGCCAAAGCCACTGGTTCTTGACCCAAATGCCTATAACAACCAAATGGGTAGGCCAAGAAATGAATCATCCACGAGTACGCCAAGCATCATCCATCGCCACCGATTCTTGAGTGTTTCTGTTCTTCGTTGCAATTTCTGCAGCTTTTGTGATCATATTGGGTGTCATTGCTATTAGCCTTTTGAATGTTTCTGTAAGGAGGAGGCTGCAATTTGTTGATAATGCTTTAGAAAGCATGTGTTCAACCTCTTCAAGATCAGGTAGTCCACCCACAGGAAAGCTCATTCTATTCGATCCGGGCCGGTCATCACTTGATTCTATCAGCAACCCGGAAAACTTGCTGAACAAGGCATCTGAGATAGGAGATGGAGTGTTTGGAACAGTTTACAAGGTTCCTTTGGGATCACAAGGTAGAACGGTGGCAATCAAGAGGCTTGTGACTTCAAACATAGTCCAATACCCTGAAGACTTTGATAGGGAAGTGAGAATCTTAGGAAAAGCAAGACACCCTAATCTAATAGCACTGAAAGGATACTATTGGACTCCTCAATTGCAACTTTTGGTCACAGAATATGCATCAAATGGAAGCTTGCAAGCCAAGCTACATGACAGGCTTCCTTCATCTCAACCTCTTTCATGGGTTAATAGGTTCAAAATTTTGCTTGGAACAGCAAAAGGGCTTGCTCATTTGCACCATTCATTCCGCCCACCAATCATTCACTACAACCTGAAGCCAGGCAACATTCTACTAGACGAGAACTGCAGCCCGAAGATCTCAGATTTCGGTTGGCCCGGCTCCTAACAAAGCTTGACAGGCATGTGATGAGCAATAGGTTTCAGAGTGCTTTAGGATATGTAGCACCAGAATTGGCCTGCCAGAGCTTGAGGGTGAATGAGAAGTGTGATATCTATGGCTTCGGTGTGATGATTCTCGAGATTGTGACCGGAAGGAGACCGGTGGAATACGGAGAAGACAATGTTGTGATATTGAAAGACCATGTCAGGGTGATGCTTGAGCAAGGAAATGTTCTAGAATGTGTGGATCCAAGCATGAGTGAGTACCCTGAAGATGAGGTCTTGCCAGTTCTGAAGCTAGCTTTGGTATGCACTTCACAGATACCTTCAAGCAGACCTTCCATGGCAGAAGTAGTTCAAATTCTGCAGGTTATCAAAACTCCTGTTCCTCACAGAATGGAAATGTTTTAGTAAAGTCTCAAAAGAAATTATGAAAAAATGACTTTGATGGGACCCATTGAGAGACCCTTACTTTATATATCTTTCTTGAAAGGTACCTTTTCTACTGTAGAAGACTTAGATTCTTCTTCTTCTTCATGTGTGAGATATATCCTGTAACTTTGCTTCCTCAAGTACAGAACAATCTTCAATATTGTTCAGATTGGTTTCTTTCTTTGGCCTTCTTTCTGTTTGCTTTTGTCGCTTTCTTCACAGTTTGGTTTGAGGATATGATTTCACCTTTTGCTGTATCAAATTATTGTCTTATTGGTTGCATGTAATTCAATTTGACTTTCTCTAGTGTGTGCAATTTAAATTGTACTTGTAACTAAAATAAAATTAATTGCATTATGTGCTTAGATTGTAATGGTACCTTAGCTTATTAGTTAGCCACTTGTTTCAAAAAAAAGATAACAACCACACAATCTTATTTTACTATGTAAGGTAGATTATATGAATTGTACGATACTATTATACTTTATTAACAATCAAATCTATGAAAATATTGTTAACTAAATTATACATTAAATAATTTCATTTTCAAGTAGTGTCTAAAATTGATGGATTTAAATAAAAATTTTAGATTTAAAATCCATGTATTTATTAAAAGATCCATTTCAATAATTTCATTTAATCTATTATGTTCTATCAACAACAAAATCTTTGAAAATATTGTAACCAAAAGATCCATTTCAATAATTTCATTCAGATAGGGTTTGGATTATTGAATTTAAATTAAAATATTACATTTAAAATTCATATATTTAAAATCTTTTATTAGAACAATGCAAGTAATTTTTTTTTTCTTCCAAAAAAGAGATGAATTGAGATTCAAAGCAGAAGTGAAAGATTTGGATTTACGACCTTACATCTATTTCTTAGTTGTTGAGACCCGAGATGAGAGCAATACAATTAAGATTGTGAGTACTTTTTTAAAAAAACATGACTGCGGGTTAAATTGGGCTAACTCCTTCACCAATTGATCTAAATGACATATATGTGTCCAGCTGCACCCAAACAAATGGTGATATATTTTCGTATTTTGATGCTGTTAAAATAGTAGCACGAGGGGCTGTTAATTTGGATATATATTTTTATGTTATTTTGATAATTAATCATTATTTATTTAATAGTTTACAATTAAGATATTCTTTTTCTCTGTATTCTAATTTTTTAAAACAAAATATAAAAAATACATTGCAAAATATGGACCATATTCAACCTAAATCTGGAGGATCTTGATCTGGCAATAGTATTAACCCTATTTTGTGTACTAACAAATATTTGCTAATATGAAATTTTAAGAATCAATCAATTAATATTGGTAAAAAAAAAAGTGATCATATTCCTCTAATGATCAATTACTCCTCAAATATTACAACAGTGACCACTTTTTTTTTTTAAAAAAAATACGATTAGTTAACTAAGTCAGATTCAACAACAATGACAACTGACAAGTGACAACTTTTACTAAATGATTTTGATTATATAGATTTATGCTACTGTTATATACGTTATCAACATTAATTCTTTGTGTTTCAAGATGACCTCTAAATGGCATTTAAGATAGCACCCAAGTTGGCAACCGGATTTTACGTGGCGTGAAGGTAATTATCATATTAAAAAAATAATTTATATTAAATTATTTTTAATAAAAAGAAAAATTAATTATTTGGTCTCTGTAATTTTAACTCAATTATAATTCAGTCTCTGAATTTTAATTACGTGTAACTCAATTCTATAGTTTTGACTTGATCGTAATTTAATCCCTAAATTTTAACTCTTGCAATTTAGTTACTATATTTTTAACTATTTAAATATTTATTCTTATATTTTTAAAAATAAAATTATTAATAATTTAAAATATTTTAAAATTTTAATCTTTATAAAATTAAAAAGGGTTTAATGATTTAAAATGTTAGTCCTAAATTTTAACATAATTTTAGTTTTTATAATTTTATTTGTTAAAATATAGAGAATGATTTTTAATTGGTTAAAAGTATTGAGTTGCAAGAGTTTAACTTCAAAGATTGAATTACAATAAAATTAAAATTATAAAGATTGAATTATAATGACTTGACATTCAAGAACTAAGTTATAACTATATCAAAATTTTAAAAAATAAATGATTAATTTTTTTTTTAATAAAAATTGCTTTAGATCTTGCCTCCGGTTGAATTTGGATTAATTCAACTTCAGGACATAGGATGGTCAAGCTTGTTTAAAAAACAAAAAACAAATAAAAGGGCTGACACGGGTCCCTTCCATGTGCCAAGCCCAACTAGTAAAAAGTCCAAACATTTTCATATGAGTAGAATGGGTTGGGCACTATTGGGCAGCCTTGCCCGATACTCCCTCCAGGCCATACATAAAATGTTTTTAAATCAAACTATGCATGTCAATAAAAACTTATTATTTAATTAAAATCATATAAAATTACAATGTTGTTTTAGTTTTTCCCCTCTTAATGTCAAAATTAATATTCTGGTAGTGGTGATTAAAGTATGAAATTAATATCTCCTTCATTTTTTAAGGCAAAGGTAAAATTATTTAATTATTTAAAAATATTATTGACATTTTTTATATTTAGAGACAAAATAAATTTTTAAAAAACATATTATATGTGGGGACGAGAGGAGTATCTATCAAGAAAACTTCACTAAATCTAGACATAATAAACAACATTTTAGTAAGTAAATGTATTCCATAATTTTACCAGAAATATAAATACAACGCCACAAGTCTGCATATCATCCTCCATGTTCCAAGTCTAAATTGAAATATAGATACTGACTTAAGTCTCGACACAAAATTCATAATTGGGAAGAAAATATTTGATTTTTTCTTTTTTTTTAGTTTACACTCTCTTTTTACCTCTAAACAGTATTTATCAATACGCATGCATATTATAAATATATTAAAGAAATGTGTGTGTTTGTGTGTGTATATGTATTTTGAGCAAGGTAGTATATGTAGAGTGAGAAAATAGGATGGCTTTGTAAGTTTGATGGGTTCAATCTTTAATTGGGTTAAAATAGGCTAGTCCTAATTGACTCAAAAATAAATTAGCTGACCCTCTAGGAAAGAAAATGAGAAGTGAGGGCAATCTAAATATGAAAAGAAAATGAGTAAAAAAATTGAAAGAGAAGAAGAAAAGAAAACCCTACCTAGCTTAATCACTCATTCACACTTATTATTCATTCCGCCCCTGCTTAATCATCAATTCACTCATTGGTTAGTTTGATTTATTTAGCTTTGGACAAGTATGGAAATGATTTGATTTGATTTTGGGAATTTGAACAATAATTTAGTGCTTTAATATGCTAATATTTGTATTTTGATTTATTTTATTTTTATGGATTTATTTTTTATAAAAATTGAAAATAAATAAAAGGCTCAGGCTTTGCACATGGAATAATTTTTCAGTAATTAGGCTTTTTAGGCCCAATCATTTAGCCTGAATGTATCAAGGGCCATACTAGGCCTTTTTTCTACCTGTAAGCATATCTAGCCTCATGCCCAACCCTACCTAATCATTAGGTTAGTCCAAACATGCTTATGCTTTTTCAAAGAAGGTAGGGTAGGGCAATTTTTTGTTAGGTTGAGCATATTATGCAAGGCCTTCCTTACTAATCCATATTTATTTATATCACTCTTGGGTAATCGTGGGATTAACCCCAACGGGTAACCCTACCATGGTTAATCTTTTTAAAGAACTTTTGAATGCAAATTGTATTGTTTCACAAGTTAGGATTTCAGTTTTCAAACCATTCAAAATTATTTTTCAAGGACATCAATTGGTCCATAACTAGAGTTTAAGACAATTGTGGAAGCATGGGATACCATTTTATAATAAAAGCATTGCAAGAAATTTCAGAAAATCAAACCAACATGAAATAGAGGTAGGCATCATGACATGGCATGCAGGCACCACAGCGTGCTCCTCTTTGTGTAACGTGCAAAACTGACAACAATGCTATTGTCATTTGACAACAGTGGGAGCCAACTTTCAATATGTCCCATTTCTCCATTAGCTTGGGGCAAAATAGGTGTCTATAGAAAGTGCTTTTCATATACTAACTAGTGGCATGTGTTTTACTTTTAAATAATTTCACACAAAGAAGTTGGACATCCACATTCATTTTCATACTTTTCACAATACAAAGGGTGTCTAAAACCTAACTCTTGTGCCGGAAGCTACAACCAATACCTAAAACACATTTAATGGACTCAAGACTACCTATACAACACCACATGCACAAAACAACACTCATATATCATTTTCATTCTCAACCACTTATTATCAAAAACAAATAAGGGAGATCTAGCACTACTTAAAACATGATATTCATGCTCGAATAAGAGTTTTCATTCAATTCAACACTTGCACTCAAATTTTTGACCTTTTAGAAAGATTACTCAAACTTATACAATAACATTAGGGCTCCAAATTACAATATACTAACCATGCAAAACATAAAGTGCAAGTAAAGATCAAAACATAAATCTAGTTGGCATTATCAACATAAATTACACATTAACATAAAGTGGGAGGATTTACAATAGGAAGTATATTCCTAAATCTCCAAAGCTTTTCTCTTTTTAAAACCCAAGCTAGAGCCTGTAAAAGGTTAAGAAAGAGGGGTGAGTACAATCACTCAGTAACTAAGGTTCCTCTACCCTATGCAGTTGCATATTAATTGACATTTTTTTTAAAAAAATTCATATATGAGGCATACAAACACATATCTTGCAATTTCACAAATATCTCACATAATTTCATATAAATTATCATAATATCATCTTTTCATAAATTAAATCACGGGACACATTGCTACAATACTAACAACTATGTGATAATGGAAAAAAATACAATGCTTATTACCACAATAATAACAATCATGTGACAATGGCTAACTCAAATATCATAACTTGTTACAAACTTAACAACCATGTGACACTTCAGATAATATGCATGAACGAACCAACCTTACATCCTCCTTATAATTTCCAACTGAAACTATGAGTTATTAATCAAATAGGGCTCCATTCGTGTCAATGAACTACCTAAACTCATTAATTATGAGAAACAACTTGACCAAGGCCATTAACCTCACTCTCGGACTATGGCTTTCCCCATTCCTTAATCTTTGAGGTGTCATAAATTTTAAGGTA